GGGGGGGGGGCAGTACTGGGGTTTGAACTGAGGGCATGGTATTTGCTAGACAGGTGCTCTACTACGTGAGCTATGCCCCCAGTTTTAGTTTCAGGTAGGGTCTCATTTTTGCTCAGGGCCAGCCTTAGCTCATTAATCCTCCTACCTATGGCCTCCTTTGTAGCTGGGACTACTGGTGGGCACCACCATTCCCATCTTACTGATTGAAATGGGTTCTTGCTAATTTTTTGCCAGGGCCAGCCTTAAACCACAATGCTCCTGAATGTAGCTGAGCTTACCAGGTGTGAGCCACCCCACCCAGCCGGTATAGTTTTTAAGTCAGTTATTTAAATCATTTTAAGAATATAATTTCTCAAATCTAGAAGAAATGTTTTACACTGTTGGCAGAGTTAAAACTTGAATGTAAGTCTTCTGACTTGGTATTTTCAAAAGCATTTTGTGTAGCATTTGGAATAATTAAATGGAATTTGGGGGTATGTTATTCAGAGGCATTTTAAAGTATTTTTTTTTATTACAGGGGATTGAAAATACAGTTTTTACTCTCAGTGAAGGACATTCAGCTCAAATTTGTACTGTACAGATGGATAAAGCCAGGCTACATTTAAAATTACTTGACTATCTTAACCATGATTGGAAAAGTGAATATCATATAAAACCTAATCAACAAGACATTAGTTTCATCAGTTTTACCTGCATTGCAGAAATGGAAAAGACTGATTTAGATATTGCTATTCATGTGACTTATAACACTGGTCAGACTGTTGTGGCATTTCATAGTCCATATTGGATGGTCAATAAAACAGGCCGGATGTTACAGTACAAAGCAGATGGAATCCATCGGAAGCACCCACCTGATTATAAAAAGCCAGTTCTCTTTTCTTTTCAGCCAAATCACTTTTTTAATAACAATAAGGTATGGTAACTTGTTTTTCTTACTTTTGCTCTTATATTTAGTTCCTTGTCTCTCCTTTCTCAATTTTTGGACCTCTGAAAAATAAAATATGAAAGTAGATACAAATAACATTTGTCAAATGTTTGAGGTTAAAAAGATGAACATTTAATGTTGAGAAATACACAGTGCATTAACAAAATATCTTTTCATGCTAAAAAGTGGAAAATTATCAACTTAAGCTTTTTAAAGTTACCCAAATTTTAATGTATTCCAATTTTTTTCCTTAGGTTCAACTTATGGTAACCGACAGTGAGTTGTCAGACCAGTTTTCAATTGACACTGTTGGTAGTCATGGAGCCATTAAATGTAAAGGCCTAAAAATGGAGTACCAAGTAAGCTAACCCTGTGCTTGAGAAATTTTTATTTAAGATGTGCCTGTTGGGATTTAGTAACATAAAGCTTCATGGTTACTCTGACATTAACAATTTCACTGGAATTTTGGAGGAAGAAGCCAAATTTAAGTAGTTGGTGAGCCAAAGTAATAAACAGATGCCACATGTATAGATAACTGTGTTTGGGAAAATTTATCCCCATTAAGGAGCAGAGAACTGGAGTAGCAGCCTTTAAGCTACTGCAAGGAATGTAGAGGATCTCTAGAAAGCTTGAAGGTGACAGCACTGAATGTGGGAAGAGTAGTGCATCTAGAAAAAAATAAAATAAAAAAAAAAAGATGTGCCTGTTGATACTTAGTTAAATTTTGTAAGGATGCCATGAGAGCAGTTTTTTACTGTTCATTTTTTCCCTTAGGTTGGTGTCACAATAGACCTCAGCAGTTTTAATATTACCAGGATTGTGACATTTACGCCTTTTTATATGATTAAAAACAAAAGCAAGTATCATATATCAGTGGCTGAAGAGAGGAGTGATAAATGGCTCTTTCTTGACTTAGAACAGGTAAGTACACAACTTTCAAATATGTGCTTCTCTGGGTTCTCTTCTCTTCGTGATGTTCGATGTCTAAAATTATAATGTAATCTTTTACATACCTAACTTTATTCCGGTTCTGTGAACCTTTATTAAATTTTTATGCTAGGCTCTAGGTATTTAATTGATAAAAAACTGGACCTTGTCCTCTAGGAATGCATAACTTGATTCGGAAGGTAGGCACTTAACAATTACTAAACAGTTTGGTTAGATACTGCAATAGAAGGACAGATGAGGTAGACTTGATTTCTTTTCCCAAGGGAGCTGTCAGGAATGCCTTAATAAAGTAAGGTAAGCCAGCTCTTACTTCAAGTTATTTGAAGGTGGCAGAGGTAACATAGGTGTGAAATTTTGATTTTATACTATCATTAGTTTTATTTCTGAATAAGGGTTTTCTGAATGATGGATTGAGATTGATAGAATACTCACTTTTGAAGAACTTTTATTGTAAGTAAGTGGTAGCATTATAAGGGAAGTATTCAGTGTTTTTTTCCTTCTACATAAAATCATCCTTGTAGGAACATTGTTCTTGAAATTTAAGAAATTTCTTTAGGGCTGATTTTGAAAGTAAATATTATTGTTGATCTGTAAAGTTTTTATTATTTTTTTATGATAATTTTTTCTTTATAACAAATTTTAAGTTAACTTTTTTCCCCCTATAACTGCTTCTGGCTTCCATTTTTATTGGACAGTAGGCTATGAATCTATCATTTCTTTAGAGGTGATTTTCTTTTTCTCTGACTGCCTTCAAACCTTTCTTTTCTGTGTCCTCTAGTCATATCATTATAAGTCTGTATCTGGGTTACTTTTTATTTATCCTACTTGAAATTCTTTTCTCCTAGATCTGTGGATTAAAATATTTCATGCTTTCCATAAAAATTAAAACTAGTATCTCTTTGAATACTGCTTCTCCTTTGTTCTAAGGCTTTCCAGGTAAATCCTTGGTATGGCCCATGTTCTTGCCTGAAAAATAGCACAGATTTCTGACAAGACCTTGACTTCTCAGCAGTGTGGATAACTGGGAAGAGAACATTAGAACCAGAAGTATAAACAACAGTAGGGAACTTACAAGGGTAGAATATTTGACAGGTTTGAGGGATAGCAGAAGAGACCAGTGTTACTGAAAAGCAGTAGAGGACAAAGCAGAAGGGTAATGAAGGATATGCATATAGATACTTACTTGTAAGCAGTTGGAGTGTTTTCGTCAGTAATTAAACATAGTAAGTTCTCAGTAAATATTTGCTGAATGAATATGATTTATTTTTGTAAGTGTTCCACAAGCTGTCATTGAGTCATGGTTCTTTTCTAATGGTATCATGGATTGAACTCAGGACCTCATGCTTGCTAGACAAGTGCTCTGCTACTTAAGCCACACACTTAGCCTGCATGTTTTTATTTATAGCATTTTTATCTCTATATATGTATCACTTACAGATACTGTCAGATCTTGATTATCTTTTAAAAACTAAATATGTAGTTTTCCAATTTTTAAAAAGCTTCAGATCTGTAGCTTTTCAACTGTTCATATTTACATTAATTGCAATTAGAAATGCCTAACAGCCAGGTGTCCCATTTCCAAAATAAGCAGAGCAAAATGGTGGCTCAAACAGTAGAGTGCCTGCTTTACAAGTGCAAAACCCTGAGTTCAAACCCCAGTCCCACCAAAAAAAAAAAAAAGAAAAGAAAGAAATGCATAACAACGTTTTGTACTTTTACTTTCTCGTTTCTTTTTGTCTCCAGTTTAAGATTAAGATAATTTTCTTTTGATAATTTAAAATTTTCGTGTTCTAACTTTGGCTTATAGTGATCAGCCTTACTTTAAGATGCATACTCATATGATCATTACCTCTCTTACATTGTTACTTTACGTTCCTACTTTACTTTACTTTACGTTCCTACTACAAAATACAATAACATTAGCACTTTCTCAAGTCTCAGGAGGTCTTGCAAATAGCACTTAAAAAGGACAGTGTACCTTATTAAACATAAAAGCACAGTATAAGGTAGGGCTATCAAGGAAAAACAGGCTTGAGTGTTTAGAATGCACGTGATTTTCAGCTTTTTCAGGTCATGACAAATACGGTTGGATTTGTTTTCTTGCTATTTTGACTCTCCAAGGTAAGTTCCTGCTCGAATGCAGATTTCAGTGAAGGAACATTCTAAGCCTTTTAAATACTTAGCCTTATGCCATATCTAGCTCCATTAATTACCTATAATAGATGAATGGAACTGTTTTTAACAAGCTAAAATACTTAGCTCTTATAACCAGGTTCTGATACAAAATTGTTTCCAGATCTTGTATGGTAGTGATCAGGTTTCACACATGAAGAGTCTCACTGAAAAATGTGAAGTGACAAGCCTAGTTCTCCGTTCTCATTCTTTTAGTTCTTTGTTTCCAGCTCCTGTTGTCCAGTCTTCTTTCTGGTGTCTGCATTACCTCCTATTAATTAGTCTGATTTCCAGATCACTATTATCCAAGTTGTTTCTTAAGATTATTTTTTTTATGTATAAATTTTTGGAAGTACTGGGGTTTGAAATCAGGGACTCGAGCTTTCAAAACAGGTGCTCTGCTGCTTGAGCCACATTTGCTCTGGTTTATTTGGGAGATAGGGATCTCATGAACTATTTAGGCTGGCCTCAAACCATAGTCCTCCCAATCTCAGCTTTCCAAGTGGCTAAGATTATACCCAGCATCCAGCATTTCTTAAGATTGTTAACTTTCTTTCCTCCTCTGAATTTTAGCTACTTCATTTACCTTTTTTCCCTATCTGATGACCAAGAGGACCCTAGATTTAATACATGTCCTGAATTATGATTTGTGACTCTTTTGACTACTTCTTATTTGCCATCTGATGCCCAAAGCTGATTTTGAGTTTTAGCAACTAAATGTATCCTTGCTTTAAACTGATCTTCTGCTTTCTCGTTCTTGGTTCAGATTTTTCAACTCTTCTTTGTAAGATCTGAACTAAATTAAAGTCTCTTTCCTCCTAAACACTACTTCCCACTGTTCTTCAACTTACTACCATTGCTGCTTATATTCATGGTGTCTATAACACACAACTCATCTCTCAGATGACAGTTTACAGTCTTTAGCTAAGAGCAGTGTTAAAAGAGAGTTTTTAAAGTTTACGTTACTATTCTGACAAGTTTATTAATATGATGTATTTATGATGAAATCTGTTTTTTGTAAATATATCTAATACATGTTTTAGTGTGTCCCCTTTTGGCCTGAGGATGCTTCCAGTAAACTTCTTATTCAAGTTGAAGGGAGTGAAGGTCCTCCCAAAAGGATATATCTTAACAAGCAAGAAAATTGTATTTTACTGCGTCTGAATAATGAGGTAAATTGATTCTTTTTGCATGTATCAGTAGAAAAGCTAATATATACATACTGGTATTATATTTTTTATTTTTGGTGATTTTTTTTCTCCTTTCACCAAAAATGAACAAACATTTCTTTTTAGAAAAGGAAAACAGACATGTAAAATAATTTGTTATGTAGAAAGTTAGTTGAAGTGATTGGAATATTAGAATGTGTTGCATCTGATATTTCACACATTTGCATGTAGTAGATACTCATAGTTTCAAAAATACAAAACAAAAATATGAATTGTTTTCTAACTTATCTCCCTAAATTATGTTTTAAAGTTATAGTTTTATTATTAAATGTTATTAGTTAATATCCTTTGGAAATGTTTTCTTTTCTTTCATTTAGCTTGGAGGTATAATAGCAGAAGTTAATTTGGCTGAGCATTCTACAGTTGTTACATTTTCAGATTATCATGATGGAGCAGCTACATTTTTATTAATAAATCACACCAGGAATGACCTTATTCAGTACAAACAAAGGTAAAATTTATCACAAATGCAGTAATTCCTCATTTTGGCAGAATCTAAGTGATAAGACATTGTCTTCATAATGATTCCTTAAGAATGTAAACTTAGAGTGCCTGCTTAACAGGTGCAAGCCGGGGTTAAAAAAAAAAAAGTAAATACTGATAATGGCATTGTGATTATGTAAAACAATGTCCCATTTTATTTTTTAAAAAATATAATAAAATATGCATGAGTAAAACTGAGTTGATAGCCATGATTTACATTTATTCATTTATTCATTCCTTTATTATATTGTACTGGAGTACATGGTGACATTTACACAAGTTCTTACAATATGTCATCATTATCCTTTACTTCCCCCGCCCCCACCCTGTGTTCCTAGAATAGTTTCAGGACATCTTGTTTTCATACATGAGTACATAATTTACTTTTAAATGCTTCAAAGAAAGAAACACAGATGAGCTAAAGCAAGTGTGACAAAACCTTGGCCATTGTTGAATTTGGTGAGGAATATATCAGGGTTTGTTATGAATCTCTGAATTTTGTTTAATTTTATTTTTTTCATAAGCATAATATAAATGTTAAATTTTTAGATTTGTCAAACAATAGTCACCTTCTCCTTGCTGAGATCTGTGGGAAAAGGACTGCTTACTATATACCATAGTTAAATCTTGATAGTTTAGGACTGGTTTAAAACTGCTGTTAACACCCTTTATTTCAATTTGCTGTGATACCTTATTCTCCTAGGCTACTACAATTGATACAACTTTATGGTCCCTTAGTTGGCAGTTCCAGTTTATCTTGAATTTATTCTGTCTCGGTTTCTTTTGGTTTATTTTCACCTGTTACTTTTTAGTGGGCCCATTTTTATCTGTGCGTTTATACTGACTTTCCATGTCCAACTGCAAAACTTCCAATCATTGATTAAAGTCAAGCAACCATTCAGTAGGGACCACAGGAATAAGCTAGCAACTTAGAACTCTTCCTTGCCTGTTATTCTCTCATATGTTTGAGGTTGAGAAAGAAGATAATCCTGTTGTTGTTTTTTTTATTTTTATTCATATTATAATTTTATCTTAGTCTGTTTGGACTGTTAAGAAAAATATCTTAGACTGAGTAATCTGTAAGCATATTTATTTCTCACAGTTTTGGAGGCTGGGAAGGCTAAGATGAAGTTCCTGCAGATTCTCTGTGAAGGCTCACTCTCTGATGTGCTTTATAGATGGCATCTCTTGCTATGGCTTCACATGGTAGAAGGGCAGGGCAAGTCCCTCAACCTCTTTTATTCCACCAATCTCATTCATGAGAGCTCTGCCATCATGACTTAATCCACCCACAGGACCAACCTCTTTATGCTATCACATTTGCACTTGAGTTTCAACATACGAATTTGGGGAAGGGTGCACTCATTTCGCATTATAGCATATTGGTTGATTAAAACTGATAATAGCAAATAACATGACTTCTCATTTGCCCTTTAGCTTCGGGGAGCCTTTCCCAATCACTGTTTACAGAACTAAGCTGTACAGAAAATTATTCTGTTGTCTATTCTGTCACTTCTATCAGAGACAGTACATAGTTGGTAATGTGCTAGGTTGGAGCTAAGTTAATCATTTACATGTTGAGGATGCCATGGGACATTATAGCTTAATTCTCTGATAGCTCTTGTTGAGACTGGCTAAGGCTGAACTAGAGACCTCTTAGTCTTTTATTTCACCTTGACTATACAGTTTTCTTTGTCGTACAGTACAGATACAGAAATTTAAATTTTTATCTATTGCATTATTATACTTGTAAAACTGATGGATAAGGGAGGTACTAGAATGTGATCCTTTGTTGAAATTTTGAGACTTAAAAAAACTTTAATGGAAATTTACAAAATTAACAATCTGGAAGAGTGAACACTGAACTTAGATTTAAAGTTGAAGTAGTTATTAAACCAAGAACTTGAAACATTGGTTTAAAAGAGTATTGAATTCAAAATCAATTTGAAGGGTTGATGCTATTTCAAACAGTATTTAGTGGGCCCCAATATGCTATTTTCATGTATATATGCATACATAATATGCATAAATGTTATGTATCTATATTACCAATACATAGGTAAATATTTCTGCACACACATATATACACATGTCGATCCTGTTCACCCTCCAGTACTCTCTCCTTTCCTCCTCCTCCTCCACTTGCTGATTCTGCCCTCCCCCAAACAATCCCCCTTTTACACTCATGTCACATTATTATTGTTACTATTACCATTTTAGGTCTATATTCCTCAAATGAGCGAAAGCATGCTTATGGCTTTTTGGAATTTGGCTTATCTTGCTCAACATAATGATCTCCATTTCCGTAATTTCATTTCTCTTTATGGATGGATAATACACCATTGTGTATCTACCACATTTTCTTCATTCATTCTTTGGTTGGTTGTTGTCTACCTATGCTGCTTTCAAACCCTGGCTATTGTGAAGAGAGCTGCACTAAACATGGGTTGTGCAGGTGTCTCTCTTACATGTTGATTTACACTCCTTTAGATATATGCCCCAAGAGTGGTATGGTAAGTTCATCAGGTATTTACTTCTTTTCATTTTTCTTAAAGCTCTTTTCCACTGTTGTCAAATATCATATGCAGATAGTTCTAGTCCCATTCTGTTCATATTCTATATAATCTTTAGTTATCTTGTCCAAACTCCATTTACTTCCCATGTACTGGTTACTCCCTAAATCTTCTGTTGAGTTTCAGGCTCCTACCTCCTCCTAAATGTCACATAAGATCCTAAAGTGATTCAGAGCTTACCTTATCATTTGCACCATAAAATCTACTCCTCTTTTTTATCCTCTTTTCAGTAAATGGCAGTGTCTTACACTCTTGTCATCCTAGACTATCTCGATTTGAGACACTGGGCAAAAGTTAGTGAAATCCCATCTCAGCAAATAAGTCAGGTGTGGTGGCACATGTCTGTAACCCCAGCTAACGGAGGCGTAGGTAGGAAGATTGCAGTCCAAGGCTGACTCCTGGACCCAATCTGAAAAATAACTAGAGTAAAAAAGTGCTAAGGCATGGTTCAAATGGTAGAGTGCCTGCCTAGCAATTATGAGGCCCTAAGTTCTAACCCCAGTACCACCAAAAAAATAAAATAAAACATGTTTCCAAGTTTGCCTTTCTAAACATTTCTCTTTTGTTTCTTAGTTCTTACCTCATACTTATGAAAAACTGAAGTTCGTTATCTCCTGAATGCTCTAGGACCTTGTCTGGATTTTTACATTTATGGATGCACCTTAACTTCTTTAAAAAGCTCCACTTCTTTGTGGTCCTTCCCTTCATCTCTGTACCCAGGCCGTGATAGCACTTTTGCATACATAGGCTGTAGAATGCTTTTGTCACAGTGTATTGACATTTTCTTTGAATTCCCATTCTACCAAAGATAAATACTGGTTAAATATGTTCGTAAGAAATATTCTGCAGTAAATTCAGCAGCTTTCCATGTTAATTTTAAAGCCAGATATATTTGCTATTCAGCATATTTATGTTTGATTTTTTTCATGTAAAAAAATGAGGAATATTGGGTGGGGTTTTGACTTCCCTTTCTTTGGCTTAAAAAAAAAAGGTTGTTGATTGTGACTTGCATATAAAGATTATAGTAACTTTTTAAAAATTCGTTAGAGAAAAACAGTCTAAAAAGAGAACTATAACCTTTGTAATTCCAGCACTGTCAACATTTTAGTACATTTCTTCCCATTCCATCTCTCTCTCCTTCTCGCTCTCTCTCTCCCCTCCTATTTATCCCTCTCTCATTTTAACAACTATAATAAATTTGTTTTAAAGCACAACTTTTAATAAATATATGTTTAGAATTTTTTTCACCTCCAGGTATATAATGTTAGAATCTATTTATGTATTCATTTTGGTTTTTGAGGCAGTCTCACTGTGTAGCCCAGGCTGTCCTCAAACTCATGAACCTCTTGCCACAATTTCCATAACACTGGGATTATAGGTGTGTGCCACCATACCAAGCTTGTTGAAGAATAGAGTTCTTCAGCTAATTTGTAATAATTATAATAACTTAATTATTTATTCCTTTCCATATTTTGTAGTATGGATTATCTTCTAATGATTTTTTGGAATATATGCATCCTGCTTCTATTCTACATTGTTTTTAGTTCTCAAAGATTTTTTATAACATTTTGAATCAGTTTTTAGCATGAAACAGTATGTGCTAATTGATCCATGAAAAATCTTGAATGCGTTTATGATTTCTTCAAATCTTTGTTTTCCAAATTCCCTATTTCTTATGAACATTTGGGGGTTTTGACCCAGATTCATCTATAATGGCTGATTTTTAAAGATTTATTCAAGGCTATTTGGAATTTGCATTGTTTTATAACATTAACAAAAAATTGACTTATTTATCTAGTTTAGGTATTTACCATTCCTACTGAAGTATATTTCTTTATCTTAGTTCCTAAAATGTTATTTTGAATCATTTCTGGCTTAGTTGGAAAAAGTCTTGAGGTACTTTTTACATAAAGGTTTGTGGATAGTATTTTGTGGTATTGCTTATTTGAAATGTTTCTTACAAATTAGCAGTGACATAAAATTTAAGAGAGAACCTTTTTTCTTAAAATTGTATAGTCATTGCCCCATTTTTGACATTCCATATAGTATAAAAATGTGATCATTTTTAAATAAATTTTATTGTGATTTTTTTTTGTTGTTGCTATTTGTTAGTTTCTTTTTGGATCTAGGGCTGAACCCAGGGTCTGCTTTGTCACTGAGCTACACCCATAAGATCCTGTGTAGTGTTTTGTTGTTCTTTTGGTTTTTGTTTTTGCAGTGTTAGGGATCAAACTCAGGACTTTGTGCATGTTAGACAAGGCCCTCTACCTGTGAGCTACATCTCCAGCCCTCCTACGTAGTTTTAAGTCAGTTGAATTTTTAGATTTTTATGTCATGTCTTGTGATTTTAAAAATAACTGAGCTACTCTTATTTTAGCCATCCTAAGATCATTGCTCAGGGAACAGTTACCAAATTCTCTTAGGTTTGGTATGGATAGAGGAAAGTAATTGAAATATTTTTTTTTGTATTGTAATTTGAGTTAAGACAAAAGCAAAGTAGTTTCAGAGACTTGAAGATATTTCTTTCCTAAGTGTGACAAATGTTTCTTTTTTAATATTCTTGTTTTCTTAGTGTCTTTTTCTTTTAAAAGGTGAAATATTTATACAAATAGATGTTTTTTCATTGTATAAGAAAAAAAGATTTTCTAGTCCTTATTAGAACTTCAATCATCTCAATTAATGAACTACTAATTAATGAAATATCATTCTGGATTCTTTTCATATTACGTAGTTACATTTAATTCAGTGCATTTTTGCTGTTTCTGTCAGTTCTCTCAGTGAAACAGAAGATTCTCTTCCTCCTGGAAAAGCAGTGTTTTATGCATGGGCTGATCCAGTGGGCTCTAGAAAGCTGAAATGGAGTTGTGGAAAAAGCCATGGAGAAGTAACACAAAAGGATGTAAGTATTAGGTTGACCATTATGGTGTTATTTGTAGCCTTTTTGTTTCTTTTAAAGGTACTGTTTTTCAACCTTGCTTACTTTAAGGGCTGTTTTGTGGCTACACTTCTAAGAAAACTGCCAAAAATTTAAAAAAACAAAAACAGTATTCAAGGTTCTTTTCTTTTTTGAATTTTTACCTTAATTAGGTTTTCATTATTTCATATTCCAACCCGAAGCTAAATACAGTTGGAAACAAGTAAGTATTAGTTACTACTCTGAAGGAGTAGAACTGTGCATATTTACTCCAATAAAAGTATGCAACCTATAAGGCAAACATTTTCTACATTTAAAAGAAAAAAAGTTATCTACTAGTGTTTCATGGTCATTGTGCAAAATAAGTTCTATAAGGCTTTATATTGATTACTAAAACCTGGAAGTAGTCTTATTGTCTGCATCACGTTCATTATGTTTTAAAAGCTGAAGTTCTGTGTAAAGAGGGGCTGTTAGCATTCACCTCATACACGCCCGTTATCTGCACTGATGGTCATCTTAGCTTTATTGAACTTCTGTAAGAAACATTTAAGGATCTACTAAGGACGCTAAAAATATTTTATTTCTGAATGGCAAGCTATGAAGATGAAGTTATATATATTTTACAGTAATATAAAAATCTTTTATAAGTTATTTATGTTTTATGTGTCTTCAATATTCATCTTAATTTTACCTCTATTCAATTGTCTTTTTTCTTACCTTTTGTTACTATTTCTTCACTTACAAGAGGCCAGTGATTCACGAATTCCTATTTTAAAGGGAAGGCTAAACAGCTTATTAAGTATGTTTTTGCTCTGGGTATTTTTTGTTAGTTTTTTTTTTTTTTTTTTAAATAAATGCCCTGTATCAAATTAAGGCAACTTAAGTCTTCTCCTAGTTTGTTTAATTGTGTGTCTAAGTGGATGACTGTTGTCTTTTAAATTCTTTTGATTTTTACCTGTTGAAAATTGTTATATGATTTTTTTAAACTTTGTCTTATTTAGAGGATGAATTATATGATTGATTTTATAGGCCAATTTCACATTTATGGAATTGGCTTGCTAATGCTTTGTATATTTATGAGAGAAATGGGCCTATTGGGAGCTACAATGTCTTTTCTAGGTTTTCATATCAATGACGTATTGACTTCTTAAAACTGTTGAGAAATACTTAAAATTTTCCCATTTTCTGGAAGAATTTATGTAAGATTAGTATGATTTCCTCCTTGAATGTTTAATAGTTCACCAGTGAATTCATGCCATCTTACCCTGCAGTTGTCTTTGTTAGGAAGGTTTTAAATTATGAACAGTATTTTATTATTAGATAGAGGACAATTCAGCTTTCTATTTGTTTTATTTTGTTTTTTAATACTTTTAAATATGTTCGTAATACCCATTTTAAAATATTTTCAATATTTAAAGTGATGCTCTTTTTCATTCCTGGTATTGGCTATTTGTGCCTTCTTTTCTTTTTTTCTTGATGACTAGTCATGAATTTTATTAGTTGCTTTTTTTCCCTGCCAGAAGCCATTTTTTTCTCTTTTTATGATGCTTTTTATACGTGTGCTTCAGTTTCACCAATTTTTGCTGTAATCTATATTCTTTTATTTGATCTTTCTTTGGATTTAACTTGGTAAGTTTTTTTATAAGTTAATAGATTATTACATTATACTGTTGAGGCTGCCATAACAAAGTACCATAGAGCAGGCGATTTAACAGCAGAAATTTATTTCTCCAAGTTCTGGAGGCTGTAGTTCTGAGCTCAGGATGCCAGTCCTCAGCTTATGATGAGAATTGACTTTCTGGCTTGCATATCACCACCACATGGCATTGGTAGTGATGGGGAGGGGAAGCACAGCTCTGGTGTCTCAAATGACACTGATGATAGTGGATCAGAGCCCCATCCTTATGGCTTCATTTAACGTTAATTATTGTTCCCATCTTCAGGTGTAGTCACTGAGTAACCTCAAGCTACTTATTTTAAGGGAACACAATTCAGTCTATAGATGATACCTAAATCACCGTTTTGTTTTTGCTTTTTCAGATCATTTGGAGTCATTTTAAAATGTACAAATTTTTTTCCAAAACACAGCATTGGTTTTATGCCCCAATTTTTGATGTGGTGTATATTATCTTTTAGCTCAACATATTTTCTAATTTTCATTGTTACTTAATTTTTATATTTTGATTTAGTGGAGGTTATTGCTTACTTTTTAAAAATGTGCCAGTGTCCTAGTAATCTTTGTTTCTAATTGAATTCTACTGTGATCTAAGAGCACACACAGATTTAATCCTTTGAAATTTATTTAGATTGGCTTTATGAGACAGCATGTGGTCAATTTCAGTAACTGTTTCATGTATATTTTAAAAAGAGCATATGTTCTGTAGCTTTTCAGAAATACGTCAGTTTGTTCAAGTTTATTGTTTAAATCTTCTGATGGATTAATAAATTCATTTCATGTTAATGTGAGAGGTGTGATAAAAATCTCCCATTGTAATCATAGATTTCTCCTTTTGGGTTTGTTATTTTAGCTTTTATATTTTGAAGGGAGTTGATTAAGCAGGTACAATTTTGAAGTCTTACATCTTCCTGGCAAGTTGATCTTTTAATCAGTAATGCAGCGGTGCCTACTACAGAGTCTTCTTAGGCTCAAACACTTAAGCTCACAAAACACTCCATCCACAACTTGGATCTGCCTTCTCCACAGGATACCAGCCAGGAACTGGCATCTGGTGGGGAGCATCCTGCAGTCCTTTTGGTGGAAGTCCTTATAGCAGTCCCCACAGCAGCTTAGACACCACAAATGACAAGTGACAGCATAACTCACTTGGTGTGTTAGAAGCCACCCCAACTTAGAAACCTCTGTTCCACAGCACCATATACATTTCTCAATAGCTCATGAGCATAACTTACAGGGTTTTTTCAGAGAATGAACAAACATCACACAAAAAAGCATAAGGCTGTTAATTTCCTACCCTGTTACAATATGCATTCTTAAAATAATTTTTGAAAAATTTGATTGACAGCATAATTATATTCAGTTTTGGAATAAATGGGATGTTTTGATATATGTATATAATGTGGCATGATTAAATCAGAGTAATCATCATACCCATTACTTTTCCTACTCCTTTCTTTTTCTTTGGTAAGACATTTGAAATTTACTCAGTTATTTTAAAATATACAACGTATCATGCTTAAGCATGGTCATCCTGCTGTGCAATAGATTTCAAAATCCAGTCCTTTTGTCTATCTGAAACTCCTTTCCCTTTAATCAGCAATTCTCTATTCCCTCCCTTCCCACCACCCTCTTCCACATTCTGGTAATCATTCTATTGTTACTTGTATTCAACATAGTGAAAGAAGTTACACAAGGAAAATAAATATCATCCAAATTGGAAAAGAACTAAATTGTTCCTTTTTTGCAGACAACATGATCTTATATGTAGAAAACCCTAAAGGATTCCAACCAAAAAACTTAAATAATAAATTAATTCAGTAAAGATGCGGATATAAATTCAACACTGAAAATCCAGTGGCATTTCTATATATTATTAGTGAACTACTTGAAAAGGAAACCAAGAAAACAATCCCATTTTCAATAGCTACCTAAAACAAAATTCGAAGGGGTAAGTTTAACCAAGAAGATAAAAGATCTCAATTATTGAGAATTTATTAAACACTGATAAAAGTGATTGACGAAGATACAAATAAATGGAGAGGATAATTTGTGTTCCCATATTGTCATAATTAATATTGTTGAAGTGTCCATACTACCCAAAGTATTCTACAGATTCAGTATATTCCCTAAAATTTACATTGAACCACAGAATAGCCTGAATAGCCAAAGCAGTCTTGTACAAAATAACAAAGCCGAGGGTATCATATGACTTGACTTCAAAATATACTACAACCCAATATTAATCCAAACGGGATGGTACTGGCATGAAAACAGACACATAGATCAGTGTAGAATAGAGAACCCACAAATAAGGTCAGTTTTTACAGTGATGACAAGAAATAAACATTGGGGAAGGAATGGTCTCTTCAATTCGGGGTGGTGGGAAAACTGGATATTTACTGCAAAAGAATGTAGTTTGCTGGATGCCAGTGGTTCACACCTGTAATACTAGCTACTCAGGAGGCAGAGATCAGGAGGATCACAGTTTGAAACCATCCTGGGTGAATAGTTCATGAGACCCTATCTCAAAAATACCCAACACAAAAAGACAGGGCTGGTGGAGTGGCTCAACTAGTAAGAGTGCCAGCCTGGCAATCGTGAGGTCTTGAGTTTAAACCCCAGCACTTCCCCCACCCAAAAAAAATGAAATTTAATCTCTTATCATTCACTATATAAAAAGATGAATTCAGGACTGGAGGTGTGACTGAAGTGTTAGAGTGCCTGCTTTGCAAGACCAAAATCCTGAGTTCAGCCCCCCTCCCCCCAAAAAAAAATCAATTTGAAATGGATTTAAGACCATAGGATATGAAACTTCCAGAGAAAGCAGAGAAAATTCCTTGACAAATTTTGGGCAGTGATTTTTTTTTTTATTTTTTTTTGGAGGGGGGGACAGGGGAGTTAAGACTTCAAAAAGCCTAGAGAGCAAAAACAAAAATAATAAATTACATCAAACTATAAAAGCTTCTGCATAGCAAAGGAAATAATCAACAGAGCGAAGAGACAGCCTACAGGCCATTATACACAAGCACAGCCCTGCCAGAGACCGGCCACTTACCTCCCTCCTTTCCACAGGCTTCTTTGGACTTGTTTCAACAGTTTGCAAAAGCATGGTGGGTTACTATGCAGTTCTAGGCATGTGGAGATAACAGAAAGAAAGGCATATTAGAAACTGGTGATCGGTGGCATCCAGATAAAAACCCTGAGAATAAAGAAGCAAAGAGAATTTAAACAAGGTGATAAAGGAAAAAAAAAGGGATATTTATGACAAATTCAGCAGAGAAGGATGAAATGGTGGAGAGGCGGCAGGAGTCATTTTGGCAGTCCATTTGAGTTCGGCTTCACATTCTGGAACCCAGATAATGTCTTCAGGATGTTTTTTCATTCAACTTCTTTGAAGACTCATTTGATGACTTTTTTGGGAACCAAAGAGGTCCTCAAAAAAGCAAAAGTTGAGGTGTGAGCTCATTTTCTCTGCCTTCAGAGGATTTCCATCTTTTGGAGGTGGGTTTCCTTCATTTGAGATAGAATTTACTTCATTCTGGTCACTGGG